TTCTAATATCACAGGAAGTTGAAAAGAAAGCGAACAGGAGGTTCTGTACACCATTCAACCTGCCACTCCAGCTGACTCGTACCCACAGAGTTCTCACACAACTGCAGATACACGTGGGGTGACAGGTTTCTTCCTGAGACTCGTTACAGAGCAAACAATCCCTAACATTGCTTTCTCAGATTGTATGCTACTCCCCTCATAGCCGTGAACCCTAACACACACACACACACGCACACACACATGCAGCCTAATCAGCAATAATTTCACTCCTGAATATTGCTAGAAAGATCACTAAGCCAAGCTAATCAATTGTCTCAGCCAGCAACCAGCCCCCAAGAGATGCCTAGACTTTTCACTGTTCTCATTTAACCCTTGGCAGCCTGAGCTTTCCCTCCCCTGTCTTCCCGAAGAGCACAGATGCTGTTCTGGGAAGAATCCAGTATTGAAGATGATGTTCCCCAGTTGCCACCTTTCCAAAGCCTTGTCTGTGTTAATGGAAGCAGACACTCTGGAACACTTTAGAAGGAGGGTCTCCCTCTCAAGTGCACTGCCCAGGACCAGCATGGTTAAAGCAAAGGAGAGGGACGAGGGCCCCACGCAAAACAGCCAGAGGGGGCCGGCACCGCCCAGAAAGGGGGTGGGGAGGGAAACTGTCACAGGACAGATACCAGTTTAGCAATTAAATTTGACATCAACTTTTACTGAACAGGATGAAATTCCAGCGAAGGTTTGTCTACATGTGCATAAAAGACACATCTCATTCTCTCTCTCTCTCTTGCTCTCTTTTGTTTTTCCTGGATGGAGAAATGTGAAGAAGAACAGAGAAGGGTCGGGGCAGGACCACAGTCAACAGGTGAGGAGCTGATGCAGTTAAGGCAGCTGAACATTCATAGCTTCATCACTTCCCCCTCCCATGACTGAGGGATTGGGAGGGCCCCCTTGCGAGGAGAGACTCCATGCAAGTCACTTCGCGTGCATTTATTGAGCACATACTGTGTGTCATGCATTGCGCTTGGCCCTGGGGCCTCCAAAGCTGATAGCAAGGAGGCAAAAGGGAGGCTGTGACAATTTTAGTGTTTAATAGCAGTACCTCCAACTCTAGGAAGGAGAGCAGAGGGGACAAACATGGGTGGCACTGCATTCCTACTCCGATTCCCTGATCAGTGGGGGAAGAAAGAGAGGAGGGCTCACTGCCTTGAGGCATGGAGTCTCTGCAAAGACACACAGGGAGGGTCAGGGCATCGGCACTAGGTGCAGCCCAGGAGAGGACACCTCATGGGGTGAGGCCCACGTGGCCTTTGGAGTCACTGGTCGAGTGACCCTGTTGAGAGAGAGGACCGAGCAGGCACCTGCTGCCTAGAAAACACAGCCCAGTGGGCTTCACAGCTGGGATTGGTCTGCCCTGCTCTGGGGGTCGAGACTGAACTGCCATCGGAGAATACAGGATGGAGAAGATGCAGGAGAGACTTGGAGAGCCAAGAACAAAAGCTGCTCATTGGAATGTGAGTGGGGCCAAGTGAGTTGACCAAACTCTGATCCGACAGAGCAGAAAAGAGTCAGGCCTTATTCCGTGACTTAGGACTGTGGTCCAGCCCACACCCTCCCACACTCTCTGCTCTTCACCGTGGTTTAAAGCCCCAGGTTCCTTCCAGGTTGGGGCAGGGTGTGTTCCCAATGTGCCTTGATCTCTGGTTTCCAGTTGCAATAGTCCGCTGGAGGGTGAAGCTGCAAGTCTTGCTGACATAGGACTCTGCTCACCAAAAGTCAGAGAAAACAGCCTGTTATAGACTGAATGTGTCCCCACACAGATTCATGTGTCAGAGCCCTGGTTCCCAATGTGATGGTATTTGGAGGTGGGACCTTCAGGGGGTGACTAGGATTAGATGAGGTCATGAGGGTGGAGCCCCCTTGATGGGATTAGTGTCCTTTTGAGAAGAGGAAGAAAGCAGAGCTCTCAATCTCACCTCCATGTGAGGATACCGCAAGAAGACAGTCCACCAGGAGAAGGTTCCTCCCTGGAACCTGACCATGCTGGCATCCTGATCTTGGACCAGCCTCTAGAACTGTGAGAAAATTAATTTCTATTGCTTAAGCCACCATCTGTGGTGTTTTGTCATGGCAGTCCAAGCTAAGATATACCTTAGTGGGAGGCATAAGGATGTGTTTTCAGTGGTGTGACATGGTGTGGGCAGAAGTGATTGCTCTGTGCTGAGCAAATAAAAAGGCTAAGACTTACTAGGTAAAAGGCTAACATTCCACATGCACTTCATCTTCCCAACAACTCTGTGGGGTAGGTTCTACATATGGGTGCATGCTAAGTCACTTCAGTCGTGTCTGACTCTTTGTGATCCTATGGTCCATAGCCTGCCAGGCTCCTCTGTCCATGTGGTTCTCCAGGCTAGAATACTGGAGTCGGTGGTCACTCCCTCCTCCAGGGGATCTTCCCAACCCAGGGATCGAACCTGAGGCTCTTAGTCTCCTGCAATGGCAGGCAGGTTCTTTACCACTAGCACTATCCAGGAAGCCCAGGTTCTATAATTACCCCCATTTAACAGATGAGAAAATGGAGCCCTTAAGAGATTATGTAGCTCAAGTCTCACAGCTGAGAAAAGGTAATGTTGGAACTTGAACTCTGGCTGTCTGACTCAGAATGTACACTCTTAACCACAGCTCTGTGCCGTCCACGGAGGCACTTGTCAGGAGAGTGAGCTGGACTTACAAAGAGGAATGCTGTGTGGCCCCTAGAGTTAGGGGGGTCCTGATGCCGTGAGGGAGGCCGACAGGAGCAGTCCTCCCATGGGGGTGAATGAAATGATGGTGGGACATCAACTGGGGCCCCAAGAAAAGGAAGGTGCCAACCAGGTAAGGAAGACGTCACAGAAGAGCTGGTGTGGACACGTTTCAAAGGCCACCTTGACCTGAGGGCTCATGGCCACGAGTGTGAAACATGAAGAGAAAGGACAGTGCCCAGGTCAGAGGGAAACAGAAGGCCAGAGGACCCTGTGGACAGAAAGGTACCTTTCAGAGCCTCTGCTGACCTCATGCAGCAGGGGAAAAGAGCCAAGCAAAAGGACTAGAAACTGCTCACTTGACTGGTGGAGAAAAAAGGCCAAGTGTGCAGAGCACTCAGAGTCCTCCAGTATCAGGGATTCCTGCCCTTACCCCCGAAGCTGGAGAAGGAGGCTACAGTCCAGGGGGGTTATACGGCTCCAACATTCCCCTTTCCTCTACTGTACACTTGCCCAGAACTTGGACTCCTGACCTCAGTTTGGCCTTGACCTTGCCTGACCTTGGCCAAATTGCTCCGTGCCTTCTCTGGCTGGAGATGGGAGTGTTCCACCTGCTTTCTTCTAGGCACAGCGAACCAGCTGGGTTTTGAGGTCCTGGCATGCAGTGCGTGGAGCTGAGGTACTCAGACTAATCACGGGGCAAAGGGGAAGCCAGTGGAGGTGCCAGTTTGCTCTTGAGGGGGAAGCCGGCCCTCTGCATTTCAGAGACAGGACCAAAGTGGGGGAGACCCTCCCCACCAGCTCCACCAGGCAGCTGGGGGAACTCTCCCACTGCCTGTAAATTGAGCCATTCTCCTGTCTCCACGTGCTCACCTCCGGACTGGAAGAGAATTGATTTGGGGAGCTGAAGGCACATAGCCCCTCCAGGGCCTGAGTGAACCCAGGATCCGCGTCTGCTACGGGGGGCTCTTTTTCTGAACACAGCAGAGCTTCTGCCACCGTTTCCATCTTCGCTTTGTGAAATGATCCCCCCTCTCTCTCTCCTCCACCTTCCACTTGGCCCAAGTTGTACAGCAGCCTGGAAATGCTGATGGCTTAACTGGTTTAATTTTTTTCCCCAGCAGCCCTGAGGGGTTTTAACTCTTTCCTCCTGCAGAAACCCTGCTTTTGGAGTTGAATGTTTAAATTCTCACTGGGAGACTCATAAATATTCGGAGTCACTCTCTCCCTCTCTGTTTGATTAGGAAATGAGCCTTTAACTCAATGTAATCCCCAAGCCATTAACAAAAAAGCCCTCAACAGCTCCACTATTAGAATTTCACTCTTAACCCGCTGAGGATTGAATTAGATTAACATAACTACCCACAATCTGAGTTTATTTTCTGTGCCAGATAGAAATGTGTTTTTCAGGGAAGGCGAGAAAGGGGAGGGAAGGGAGGGGGGAGACAGAGAGCGCGAGAGCACAGGAGGATAATGAAATGTAAAAATAGAGATAAGAAAAAGATGGACAGATACACTGTAGAGGTGAAGTGATGGGGAGAAACAGCTGTACTTGGGCTTTGGTTGAAAAATCCTGCCAGCTGCCATTTTTTATTTGTGGGATATTTGGAGGGGAAATCGTTTGAATGAGGGGAGCACTTTCCAGGTATTTGCAATTCCTTCTTCCTCGAGATTGATGGCCCTGCACCTGAGCCTGCTGTAGTCCAAAGCACCTGCTCATCGGCCCCACTGTCCCCCATTTGGGAAGAGGTAGGGGCTGGGTTTCTACGAGCTGGCGGAAGGGGGGGACGCATAAAACAACAGCATGTACACAGGCGACTGTGAATTTACATCAAAGAAATAAACAATGATGAGGATGGAATGGGGGAGATTTTACCGATTTGAAGTCACAGACAGCCCTGTGACCAATTACATGTAAGAAATCAGTTTGGAAAAAAAACAAATGAGTTTGACAGGAGCTTGGTCCACATAAAATTAATCGCTATTGAAGCAGAAACTAAGTAATCACAGGCTGCCTTATGCAAAAGCCTTGCAGTTTCCCCAACTGCATCTCTATACATAAGTCCAAAGGGGCAAAACCACATCCTGAACTTGAGGGGGAAAGCCAGGCCTTCCAGCATGCTGCCAAACAAGCCCCCATTCCACCTAAAAGTGTCCACAGGTGGCCAAAGGAAGGAGCAGTTCTTGTCTACATATGACAACAAATAATTTCTCGTCTCAAATGATAACACTAATAAGAACACAGGACTTGTTTAGAAACACGGGACTCACCCCCACTGCATTTAATCAGGGGCCGGCAGGCTCCAGGGTACATGCTGAGGAGGGGAGGGAACGGCTTGCTCTCGTATGAAAAGGTTTGGAGAATCTCACACTTTTACCTAAAAAGCCACGGAGATCAGACAGTCCTAACAGTTCAATTTTGCCAACAGCGGGCTGCTGAGGTTTGTGAATGCAATGTCTCAATCACTTGGTTCACTTGAGCTTTAATTAACAATCACCCACCAAATCCCACTTCAGTATTATTATGGGAAACCTTTGCAGGATATGTTTATGAAAACAGAGTCTATGGACTAGAGAAAGTAATAATGCTACATATAGAATATGCCCATTTCCTTTTTTTTTCTCGATTTCTGGGACTCTACTTTCCCTACTAGTTTTGAAATAATGACATTTCTCCTGATTTTACACAAAACTCTTTCTTCTAATTTCTCTAGCAGTGAATATAGTGAACATATAAAGTTTACTTTCAAATCCTAATGGGGATCAGGAAGGAATAAGAGATTAGAGAGTAAACTTCACATGTTCTGTCCTCCAAAATAATAAATGAATGGATTAAAGGCATTAATAATCTTAAATAAACACTGATAAAAATACAGAACCAAGAGGAGGAAAGTGAAAGTTTCATAAAGGTCAAAATAAAAATGAGATCAAACCACCTCTCTAAATATATGCCAGCGTCCATATTATTTAACTTTCTTCAAGTCAGTTTTGCTGTTAAAATGATTTTGTTTTTAATCAAAACAGTCCAGACGTATCTGTTTTGTCCACTGCTTTTAAATTGTTGTAAAGATTGATGAGTTGGGATCTTGTTTTCCCAAAGAAATCAAGAAGTAGTGCTTAGCAATGTAGCTTATGGGAAGCATTGTATTAGTAAATAGAGACTCAGGTATTATTTGTCTCGTAAAAAAGGATGCATTTTAAAGTTGTATATCATATACATTAAGCATCATCACTTTTTTATTCCCAAAATTCAGGGCTTCTATTTCTTCATAAATATTGTTATATATATATTTGTTATAAATATAACAAATCTCCCCAACTGCAGCATTTTTAGCTAACACTATGCAGTTTCCAGAAACGAAAGCCCCAAATGTTCCACAGGAAGCTGGTGGCATGTTAAGTGGTGTGGACCAGCCGACAATACCTGGGGACTGCCGTCTCTAGGAGTTGCCGGCGTGCTCACAGAGTCTGTGCTCTGCTTGTCTGAAACAAGTATGGCTTTGACAAGGACCCTCATATCAACTTTTTTCCTTCTCGAAAGATGCGGAGCTATGGCTCCACGGCACTCCACACCCGGCTTCTATCCTTTCGGATGCTCTTCCACTCCCAGCCCCTACCCCAGTTCCCCTTTCAGGATGAAGAAAACATACCAAATGAGTGAGCCAACAAAAGCCCGCAAGGCAAGACAAAGTGTCAGCTCTCATCCCAACTTCTCAAAGCAAACTCCGTGCAAAAAAAAAAAGTCATTTTCCTTTAAGGCGCTATAGAAAAGCTGGCTATCGGGACTTTCATGATTCCCTCCCTGAACCAGGAAGCTCCCAGGCCCGAGTCTGCCGGGAGCCCTCCATCATCACCTGTCCTGTGTGAACTGGGTCTTCCCTCTGTAACCTTCCCAGCTCACCCAGAGCCAGAGCTGCCAGCAAATGAAAGTTTTCACGCTGGGAGACATAACCACCCCACGGAGTTGCATGTAAACTTTCCCTTGCCCTATTGATTTACTTACTTATTCTCAGTGAAAACAAATTAAAAAACTAAAAGAGGACCTACTGATTTCCAAATGAGTTTGTGTAACTGTCCCTCGCCACCCTTCCGGGTCCCTCTGACCTTCCCAGGACAGTCTGCGAGAGGCAACATTTTCCTCTGGGTCACCCAGAGATGCTCGAGGGTGCCGAAACCCAGGATGAGAGAGCAGGCAAGGGGGAAGATATTTTCATCCATGAAAAAGACAGAGGGGGAGAGAGAGAGAGAAGAAAGCAGCGTGGTATGGGGCAAAGGACAGAAGGGTCCAGGGCAGAGTCAGGGGTGGAGGGTAGGAAGAGTCCGGTACTTACATGCTTGGGGCTGGGGAGGGGACAGGGTGGCGGGGAAGGGGCTCCCCTCAGCTGTTTCCAGTTGCTGATGGCTCGTTGCTCAGCTCCTCCGGCACCAGCTGACAGTCCCCTGTCTGTGTCTCTTTGTGACTAAGGACACAGTACTCCCAACCTATAAATAGATCCCGACTCCGTGATTGATATAACAGGCAGCTGACAAAAAAAAAAAAAAAAAATCCCACAACCATAACCAGGTCTTAAACAAAACAGCAAAAAAAGCTCTAGACTTTCAACCCCACCGAGCTCCATGCAGACTCCATGCAGATGGGCACTGGAAAGCCAGGAAGAAAAATATACAATGAAGGGCAGGAGGAAATGGGGAGAGGACAAAAACCAGGGAAAGTGTGAAAGGCAGTTACTTCTCCAGCGGAGGACTTGGGGTCACGGGAGAACCGAGGGGTGATGGACGGCAGAGAGAGCAAGGAGGGAAATGGGCAGGAGGGTCTGACTCGTCCCCCCACCGCACCCCCACCCCCCATCCCCATCCTGAGCTCCTGGCCTGATCAGGGCTGGAGTCAAAGTCCTGACTTGGGAGCATTCGTCAGCCCAAGTGCTTTCCACGAAAGTTTCCATGCCTCCTGCCAGATCAGGAGGCAGGGAGGGAGCAGACAGAGCTTTCCTAGCTCAGAGGCCAGGCAGGCTTTTCGGGGGGACACACAGGACGTTCCTGGAGTGGGGAAAGGGGAGAGGACGTGCAGGTGAGGGGCTGGGACTGGGGTCACCTGTGCCTGGTGTGACAGGGCCCAGTGGGCTGCTCGCAGCCGTAGTGGGTTTTAAAAGGATAGGGGTGACATTCCGGACAGAATTGCCCAAGGTTGAAAGGCCATGGGGGCCTTGCTGTCTCTGCTTCTTCCAGAAAGATTTCCTAGGAGACTGAATTATTTGACAAAGATTCTTCTTGGGGAAAAGATTCCCAGTCTTTGGGATAGTAAGGGGGCTCTAAGAAACACTGGCTGCTCCAGTTTGTGCAAAGGTGGGGCAGCCTCTCCAGGATGGTCCGGCCCAACTCTGAAAACTAAGGCATGGGGCAAAGTTTCTAGAAGACAGGAGAATAATGGAGACATGACAGAGTGTGGACTGTCTACACTCACCAGGGGAGCTCCTGATTACCCCAGGGACTCCTGCCACCTGCAGGCTACCTCCTTTGATCACAGCAGGGTCCTCTGTCTTGGTGGTCTGGTTCCCTGTGCACAAAGATTTAGGTAGAATTTCAGATGAGGCTCCCTGTTCAAGAAGGGTCATGGATGGGCCCAGTTGCTTGCTGGGTGTGATGAGGGATAGGCATTTTATTATCCCTTAAAATGTCCTCATCTCTAACTTTTAAAAAAATGAAGTGGAATTTCCTCCTCATGTTACATCTAATTCTTTACTCTCCAGATTAGCAGATAATCTGAGGCTGGGGGTATCCAGTCTGTTAAAGTTAAAACCTATTTAATATGCAGGACCTCAAACATTTGCACAAACAGTCTGCCACTGGAATATAAGCTCCCAGTGGGAAAAGATATGTGTCCGTCTTATTTACCACTGCCTGGCCAGCTCTACCATGATACCTGACACTTAGGAAGACTCCCCTGAAGTATGGATTGACTGACTAACTGATTGAATGAATGCGTGAGTGAAGAGTGAAGCCTAAGATACCCACGATTTGAATCACTCATTTGGACCAAGACATTCACTCTAGAAACGTCTGTGTTATGAGAGTGCTCCAGGGAAGGGAGAGAATTAGGAATGGGACAATAGGCAGATAGAGTCTGACTGGCCTACTGCTGAGCCACGATTTCACCTGCTCTGAGCACCGGGCCAGTGTGGCCACCAAGCACTTCCCTCCAATCAGGCCCGAAGGGCTTCCCAGGTGCTCAGGGGTTAAGACTCCACCTGCCAATGCAGGAGACACGGGATCCCTGGTCCAGGAAGATCCCATATGCTGAGGGGCAGCTGCACCACCACACCTGAACCTGTGCTCCTCAGCCCGGAAATCGCAACCACGGAAGCCCCGAGCCCTTGCGCCGATGCTCTGCAACAAGAGAAGCCACCACAATGGGAAGCGTGTGCACCGCAACTAGAGAGTAGCCTCCACTTACCGCAAGTAGAGAAAAGCTGGTGCAGCAGTGAAGACCCAGCAAAGCCAAAAATAAGTAAATAACCAGGCTAGAACACTCATGGGGTTCTCAGTGAACATAGTTGCTAGGAAGCCGGATAACCCAGCCAAGAGGCAGGGGGCTCTAGATCAGTTCCCGTGCTGATGACTGGGGCTATGGCCACTGGGGCGCACATTCATTCCAGGCTCCTTCCCAGGGGAAAACCTTTCTCTTCTGATGCAGACTTATCTGCTCTCTCTTCCAATCCTCCAGCTGTGTCCATTTGGGCTCTCGCTGAGCCCGCCCTGACTTCTGGCAGAAATCACGTGTGAGTTTTTGTGGCTGCATCCTCTCCTAGCGTCTCACCCCCTCCAACCCCCTGCCACCCACTGACTTCAAGCTCCATGCCTTGCCTGTTGTAAAACGCTCAGTGAATGGGGTGAACCAAGCTATGCCTCCTTCAAGGCATCCTCCTTACAAAGCCCCTGTATGTGTGTGTGCTCAGCTGTTCAATGTATCTGACTGTCTGCGACCCCTTGGACTATATTGCCCACCAGACTCCTCTGTCCATCAAGAATCCTGGAGCAGTTTGCCATTTCCTACTCCAGGGGATCTTCCCAACCCAGGGATTGAATCTACATACCTTGCATCTCCTGCATTGGCAGGCAGATTCTTCACCACCATGCCTCCTGGGAAGACCAGAAAGCCCCTGTGGCACCTCGATTTTGGCTTTTCACTGTCAGGCCCATCTCTGAATCACTCCCAGTGATTCAGCTCTCCCAGCTGAACCAAGTCTTGGTGTCTGCTCCCAGCTAAGTGGCCCAGGGAGACCAGCTAATAACCAGCGGGCCTCCCTCTGATCACAC